GACGAGCGGCGCGGTGACGAGCTGGTGGTCGAGGCGCGCGACGAGCTGGAGCAGCTGGGGCAGGAAGAGCCCCGGGTCGCGCTCCACCATCTTCAGCACGAAGTCCTTGTGGCCCATCTTGCAGGCCACCTGTACGGGCGTATCACCGTCGTTGTTCTTCTCCAGACCCGTAATGCCTCCGCTGAGCAACAATCGCTTTGTGCGTGTAGTGCCATCGATGTATCATTGTCGATCGTGTGCGGTGGTGCGTGTGCGGTGTTAGAGATCGGGTAGCAAAAAAGTTGGGTATCTTCTCGATTTTGCGTGTCATCCTTGCGCAGGGGCCATGCTAATCTTCTCTGTATCGTTCCAATTTAACAGATGGAGCCTCCCTTTCGGGAGGTCCGACCTTGAGAAGGCCCAGAGGACCCTTTTGAAGGCGCCGCTCCACCAACCTCCCCTCCATTATGGGAGCGACAATTCCGTGTGCTATTTTTTGTGTCGACACCGTGCGTGTCGTGTCGTGTCGTGTACATATTGGGGGGGGGAGGCGTACCCATTTGGCGCTGCGAAGGAGTTCGAGAAGGCGGCACGTGAAGCTGAACTCGGTCGACGTCTTTGGCTGGGGCGCGATCTCGGCGTGCCAGTGCGAGATCGTGTACACCATGAGGCTCCGTATCACCTCCAAACACCGGTACAGAATCGACGGCTCTGCGCATGTGTCGTGTGTCGTGGCGTGTGCGGTGACATGCGTGTGGCGTGTGCGGTTGAGTGAGTTCGGAACTGAAAGCACTGCGGCGCGGTGGTGCGGTGGGAGGGGGGCGAAGAGCGCACCTCGGGCGATGAGTTCGAGGAGGGGCACGAGGATGGCGTTCTGGGTGAAGATCTTCTGCACGAACTGGTCGCGCGCGAAGGTCGGCCGCCGGGGCAGCACCTCCTTGTACTGTTCGTAGGTGGGCGTCGGGTCCTGGGTGCGCATGAGCCGCGCCAGGTACAGGTCGGCCAGCACACCCAGTCGCTCCACGTCGTCTGCATTGGTTCGAACGTTGGTCGGTCAAAGACGGTCAAAAGTCAGCCGCCGACGGGGGGGGTGGAGTTACTGTGATGAACGCAGAGCGAGAGGAGGTCGATGATGTGTCGTTGGTTGTCCTGCAGCAGCATGGCCTCCAGCAGCACCTTGTCCTGGTAGTGACTGCACACACGCACTCGACGATCACACTACCACACACACACACACACACACGACACACACACACACACACACAGGGAAGGTGAGTACCTGGAGTCGGCGTCGAATCCGAGCTTTCGCTTCTTGATGAGCGTCTTTTCGAAGATGCTGAGGCTCGTGCGGCTGTCCTTCCGGTCGTGCGCCCTCCGCTTGAGGTTCTGTTCGAGCAGCGACGTACCCGCCGCCGCACCCGGCTCCGCGCGGAGCTGCGCTGGTGACGACAAGAACGAAGACGAAGACGAAAGCGAAGACGAAGACGCGGGCGGTGATGAGGAGGCGTGGGTGGTGGACGAGGGGGCGAGAAACAGGGAGGACGGGTGCGAGTGAGAGAAGAGCGGAAGCGCGGAGAAGAAGGAGGTGGTGGGCTGGAAGATGGCGTTGGCGGGCGGGACGTAGACCGACTTGCTCACCGGAGCCGGCAGGACGGGCGGCGTCGACGAGCCGGCGACGACGGTCGGTGATGGCCGCGAGGGCTTGGTGGCCCTGATGACCTCTCGCTTCCTTCGAACCTGCGCAGACCCGGTCAGTTTACTAGCGACACACGGCACACGGCACACGGCACACGGCACACGGCACACGGCACACGGCACACGGCACACGGCACACGGCACACGGCACACGGCACACGGCACACGGCGTACGATGCCGTCGGCTTCGGGGGAGAAGATGAAGTCAAAGAGGAGGTCGAGGATGTGCGGAAGCGCGGACTGAGGCGCGGCGTCGGTCATCTTCACGATCAGCCGCTTCACCGCCTCGACCGGCGGAATGGCGTCCGTCGCCGCTGACGTGCCGCTGCTGGCGGTCGCCGTCGTCGTCGTCGTTGCCGTGGCGGTTGCCGTGGCAGTTGCCGTGGTGACGAGTGTGGTCGTGGTCGCGGGTGGCGTGGAGGGCAGGAGGGCGAGGAAGTAGAGGAGGACCTGCTCGATGCAGGTGTGGAAGAGGGTGGCGTCGCCCTCGGCGGCCAGGTGGGCGACGGTGGCCTCGAGCAGCGGGAAGAGGACCGGCGGGAGTGGGGCGGCCACCGCGCTGGCGGCCGACCCGAGGGCCGGGCGGTAGAGAAGGCCGAACAGCTGCGCCCAGTGGTCGGCGAGCAGAGCGGCGGTCGACAGCTGCAGCGAGGGCTGCGGCGCTGGTGGCGAGGCCGCGGCTTCGTCGGCGCGCAGGAGGAAGCAAAAGTTGGCCAGCACGGCGACCAGGCGGTCGTCCGCGAGCGCGGCCATCGACTCCACCACCCGCTGAACGCAGACCCTGGAAATAAAGTTAAAAAATAAGAACAATAATAGATACAAATCATAAATACATCATAAAGTGAATATTTCAATAATAATAAAAGAAATTGAAAAATGTAAAGAAATGAGATGTACCGGTAGACGTCGGGGTAGTAGTTGAGGAATCGGGACCGCACGCGCAGGAACAGGGAGAGGGAGCGGGCCGGCGGCTGGCGGTGATCGGCGGCGATGAACAGGTGGTGGAGCACATCGCCCGCGCTCTTTTGGCCGCCCTCGACGCCTGCGCAGGGGGTCACGCCTGACATCAGCAAACGGCCACGATGACGACGACGATAGCGATGACGACGACGACAGGGAGATTGGAGGGCGGGGAGGATACCGATGAGGACGAGCAACAGTTCAAAGAGAGAGCCGGCATCGGCGTCGCCCTGTGTGGTCTGAGACGGCAGAGCGAGGGAGACCAGCGGCCCGATGTGCTGGCGCAGGTGGTAGAGGAACGACAGCCTCCCTCCCGACTTGCCGTCGTTTGACAGCGAATGATCAAGATATCTGTGCGTGTGCGTGTGCGTGCGGTCGTGCGTGTGAGCCAAGAGTCGGCCAACACCGCACAGCGGAGCAGGACGGAGGGGCGAAAAATGCTCAATCGGGGGGAGGGGAGTGAGAGGTCGTACCGGTCTCGGAGGCCCGACGAGCTCAGTGCGTCAAACAACGCGTCTTGCATCTGAAACACGCGCTCACGTGCGCCATGGCGCATCATGCAGTGTTGGTTGGGGGGGGGGTGGAGAGATGGATTGGTACCACCAAGAGCGTGCGGGCGAGCAGTGTCTCGGCACCGGCGGCGATCAGGGCTTGGTTGGGGAGAGCGACAGCGCTTCCCTCGCCACCCTCGACTTCCATCTTGACGTCTCCCTTGGCCGCACCCTGGAAAGCCCGCGATGAGTTCTCATGACACGCATGACACGACACACGCGACACTCACTGCACTCACGACACAGGCCGGCGGTGTACCTCATCCTGTAACAGACGCGACAAGAGGGAGGAATGTGAAAGCGAATCGTCGGCGGCGGCAACGAACTGGGTCTTTCGTCGCAGGGCTTCGAGCAGGAGCACGAGCTGCCACGCGTTCGGCCCCAGGTGCGGCAGATGCGCAACCAACACCTGCGAGATGAGGTCCAGCACTGTGGGAGAGCCATCGTCAGCGCATCGCTGTCGCCATCAGCGCGTGCACACCATGCCACGACACGCACACACCGCACGCGCGCGTGCGAAGAGAAGAGAGACGCACGGCTCATGTTTCCTGGTCGGTGGGAAGGAAGGTCGGCTTCCCGCGTAATGACTCGGTCGAGGGTCGCCATCGAGAGGCTGCCGAGCACGAGTGGGAGGGCGAGCTGGGTGGCGGTCGGGCAGGCCGAGGCGACCAGCGCGAAGAGGCCCAACAGGTGGGTGTCCCCCTTCGCGTGGTCGGCTGCCGAGTAGCGCAGGAAGCGAGCCCAGTGCGCCCGCAGCGCATCGACGCAGTGCTGCGGGTGCCGCTGCGCGAGGTACTCGATCGCGTGAACGCCGAAGCAGGCCGGCGAGAGGGACGAAGACGAAGCGGAAGAGGATGTGGTCGAGGAGGAGGAGGCGGAAAGGGGGTGGCTAGTGGCTCGGCCCTCGACGACGTCGCGGAAGATGGAGGCGAGGAGGTGGTCCATCACTTCTCGCGGGCGGTGGAGGCCAACAAAGGCCACCAGCCACTCCAGGGTGCGCGGGCCGCGTGCGGCAGACTGTTTGACAGAACAAGGCGTGGGGGTCAGCAAGCGCGTGCGTGTGCGGTGTGTGCGTGTGCGGCGTGGGTACGTACTTGGAAGAGCCACGCCAGCGGTTCAGCGCCATCGAGCTCTTCCCGCTTCTTCGCTGCTGCTGCTGCGTCGTCGCGGTTCGGTTCGTCGGTTTGGAGAGCGGCCAGGCAGCGCGTGATGACGCTCGCGAGGTAGAGGTTGTGCAGCCGCCCGAGGTGGGCCTCGATGCTGGTCTGTTGCCCCACAGCGCCCGCCAACTTGGCTTCGAGCGCCCCCAGCAGCCCCACGCACCACTACACACAAAGAAGGTTGCCACAATGAATGGATATTTTAAAGTGATTAATCAAATAAATGAGAGCAAATGAAGGAGGCTGCACCTTGAGCAGGAAGGTGGCCCAGGTGCCGGGACTGTCAGCATCATCGACAAGAGAAATGAGGCGATCGTGTACGAGCTTGGCCTTCTTCTGAAAATCGTGATCGAGCTGCCTGCTGACAGATGCCGCGGAAGGTTGAGTACGCAGGAAGAAGGATCTGAGCTCATCAAACGCTGGGCCACTCGATGTGGGCGAGGAGGGATCGATCAACTCGATGATTGAAGATACGCCTGCGGGATCGTGGTGATTGCGCGACTCACGTCGCTTTCTGCCAGCGCCCGCTGGCGAGGGGGTGAGAAAGCTGCCCCCTCTTGGCGTGTGTGATGAGGAGAGCTCCATGTGCGGATTGTGATGTGTGACGTTTCTCAATGAGTTTTAAAAAGAACTGGATGTGGCGAAAATGTGTTCACTCCATGGATTGACTTCAGATGGAGCCTCTCCACTGGCAATGACCTTACCGTTCAAGCACAAATTGCCAGGAAGACAAAGATGGATAGGTGGCCAAGAATCAACAGGGTTTATTCTAGCCCCATACTCCTGGGTAGGGGGGAGATGGACGCTGCCGTCTTGACTCCTACAGCTCCGTCGATCGGATTTGCGTTTCGTAGCGCTAGTCCAATTTATTTCTTCTTGTCCTCAGCGGGCACGTTGGCGTTGGGTCCCCTCTTGCGGCCACCGGGACCGACGACGACGTTGACGAAACGCTTGGTGTAGAGAATCCTCTTCTTGGCGCGACCCTTGGGGGTCTTCTTCTTCTCGACCTTCTCGATCTTAGGGGTCTGACCCTTGACCTTACCGGCACGCGCGAGACCTCCGTGGACCTTACCTGTGATGCGTTGCAAGTAATGGAAGGAGTTACATCACCGTCCATCATCTAGACCAATAAATTACTCAGCGGAGTAGATGCGGCGCTGCGGCATCGAGACGGGAGAAGCTCCGAGGAACAACAGCAAGAACACAACGAAGAAGCACATAACCGCGCAGGAGAGAGGAGATGAAGATTGAACAAGCAGAAGATGCAAGGCGCCGAAGAAGATGAGGCCACGCGAGGAGTGGAGGAAGCACATACCCATGGTTGTGTAGTGTTGTAGAGAGAAAGAAAAAAAGGCAGAACACAAAAGGCGCTCACAAAGGTGCCCCAAACCAGTGTCGACAATAATACCAGAAATTTCTCCGTTTCTTTTCTCGCAGCGGAGTGGGGGGGGGCGGCAGCGAAGGAATGCTCGTGAATGAACTGCTTCGTTCACAATTTACAGAGTGGGTGCCAGCTGTGGCCTTTGGTTTCAATGCCAGGGAGGGGAGTGGGAGGTGAGCCTCTGCACTAGAGGCTCTTGGCAAAGTGAACGAAGCCCAGCGCGAGGTTGCAGCCCACGCCAGCCACCACGCCTGCAGATCAAGGATGGAATGTGTGTGAGCTTGCCAGCCACAGTACCACAACACACAGGGGGAGTTGTGTGCAACGCACCAAACTTGTATCGTCGAGAATGGTTGGGATCCAACGCCTGAGCCATCAACAAGAACATTTTTTGAAAAAAAGATGAGAGTTGTCTCTAGACAGTCGGAGATGAATGAAGGGAGGCAAGTGCAGCGCGCGTACCCAGAAAAAGAGGATGGTGAAGCTGAGGAGGAATCCGAGCACCATGCCAAGGAACATATCCCGCAGGCTGCCCTCCGAGGTGACGGCGTCGTTGTAGGCCCCTTGTCGCGGCTCGCCCTCCGGCGCTTCATCGTCGTCATCGCTCTCCTCGTCTAGTCCGTCGATGATCGTGGCCGGTCTCTGTGGGCGGTCGCCAGCGACTCCGGCTCCGCCGTAGTCGTCGCCGTCGTCGTCGCTATCAAAATCCGCCTCCTCGGGGTCGCTGCTCTCAAGCCCCTCCGGTGTACCCTCCGCCTCAGCTGTTTTCCACCGCCGTGTTAGTGCGTGGGGCCTCTCGTCATGCCGAGCAGCAGGGAAGGCGGGCGTATGTACCCCGGTGTAGATCAGCGCCAGCGTTCTGCTCACGGATGAGCCCGTCGATCCAGAGATCCTCCAGCTCGCCTTGCCGCCCAGCGTCTTTTGGAAACGGCGGTGCGGTGGGTTACCATTAGCGCGCTGTTTGGCTTGAAAAGTAACGACCGCAAAGCAAAGCAAGCACGCACGGCACAGGGCGTGAGTGGGGTGTACTTGTGATGGTCATGTACTGGTCAAGCGCGCGCGGGTTGCCGGCATTGACCGAACGCAAGATAGACTGGTGGAACTGTTGCCTATACTCCACCACCTCGGCCGCCGAAAAGCCTGCAGGGGGGCGACGACGTCAGCGCCGGCACATTCATTGCATTCGGGTTTGGGGGAGGGGGAGGTACCAAAGTGCTGCAGGCGCTCGAACCCCCGCAGCTGCGCATGACCAGTCTCGATGTCCTGCGGCGCCTAGCGCAGACGCGCGTGAGCGAATGGCCGCACAATGCGCGTGCAGAACGGGAAGCGTACCGGTGGCGTGGCATAATGGTGATTATCAACACGGGAAGAAGAAGAAGAAGAAGAGGATGAAGACGAAGAGAAGGAAGAAGAGGAAGAGGAGGGAGTCGGAACAACGTCCGACACCACCATGTGCACAGAGGACTGGTCCTCCAGCCCCACCGCCTGAGCCACGCGACGCGCAGCACGCAGCCCAGCAAGTCAGCGCTGACGTGCCAGCAACCGCAGCTATTGGGTGGGGGGGGGTGCCAGTACCTGAAGCGTAGCGTCAGGGTGCTTGAGTTGCCGCCCTTTGAAGATGAGTCGTACTCGCCGGTCGTGAAGTCCATATCTACTCGTAAGCTGTGCAATGTAGATCAATCTTACGGTGGCAGATGCAGATCTGCAAAGACCCACTTGGGATGCGACGAATCAATTGCAAAGGGATGAGATGGGAGAGGCCTGTACGAGATGGGTGAGTTCTCTTACGGATGCACGCGGGTGGATAACGATTGGGGTATTGTCTGGACTCGACGCCGAAGTCGAAGTATCGGCTCGCACTACTCGCAGGCGAATGCTGGGTATGTGTTGGTCCTCATCTTCCATCCTCCTCTTCCTCATCGACGATTTCGTGGCGAAGAGAAACTGGACGGAAACTTATTTTCAAACTCGCGACGTGGCGCCTCTTTGTGTTGTCTTATCAGTTCGCCATACCTTCGCTTCGCTACACGGCTCCAACATAGATGTCAGCGTCCACCAAGTTCACTGTGCGAGCGGCCACGCGCGAAGACGGGCCTTTCTTGGCGTGGGTGCTGCTTCAGGCCGGCCGCTCGCAGCACCCGCGCGGGCTCTTCGAGCACATCATTGGGCCAAAATACACCGAAGAGCAGCTGCTCACCATCCTCACCGATTTCATCCTGTGCGCACCCTCCTCCGCCGAATCTAGATTCGGCAATTTATTGATATTT